TTAGGTTGGAGGCCATTGCTATTAGGTTAGAGGCGATCGCTATTAGGTTGGAGGCCATTGCTAGTAGGTTGGAGACCATCACAAGTGTAGTGTTGCCATCATCCGAAGAACCCGCCAAGCATGAAGACCCCAAATGTCATGGGCATCACGTTGAGCGGGCATCATCACAACAATGACTATTTGCCAAACAATAGGGTGCCCACCACCTACTACATCGGGCTACTGGCTACTGGCGCCAGTTGGTGCTACGCATCGTGCTTGGCACTACTGAGACCATACATGACCTTTGGCCTCTCCTCAAACCAAGCTTTGCCAAGGAAACTGCAGATCTTTCATTTACACTTTGGGTCGTTGGACAACGTGTTCAGCTGGAAAGATGACATGGACACCTGCGGTTATTGGAGATGGAATTTCATTAAGGAGGTGCCTACTAGCGATGGCCTCCACTGGGGAGACGTTGTGCAGTTCACCAAGAACTCATCAAGAGTGGCTCCTCGAAGCCGTAAACGTTGGGCCGTTCCACGTTGCTCAACCTTGGAGCAAGAGACGGTTTCCACAGCCAAAGAGACAGCATGAGGCAGCCTGAAGGAGGCAGTTGAGATATGGCTCATATAAGAAATCAAACTCCAATTGCATTGGAATTCTCAGGGCCTGCAACATTGCAAGCCCAACCAAATTCCTCTGCACAGGTACCAAGCTGCCCCTTAGGTTGGAGGCCATCGCTCTTAGGTTGGAGGCCATCGCTCTTAGGTTGGATGCCATTGCTAGTAGGTTGGAGGCCATCGCTAGTAGAAGCAAAAGGAAAAAGATAAGGAAGGAAGGTCTCATATAGTTTGCTATTGGGTTTCTCAGCCGAGAGGCGGATCGACGCACACGCGGATGTCGTCCCCCACAGGGATTGGCTTGCCATGCCTCGGTCGCCGATCCGGAAGGGTCGCCGATCGCGGTCGACCGTGGATGAAATCTCCACTTCTCTGTTGGTCAAGAACCAGGGGGGCTCAGGGGGCTTCTCCACATTTTCTCAATCTTATCACAAACTAGAAGCAGCCACCAGCCATTTCTGACTCCCTGCAGCTTCCCTGGAACATGATGTTCACGCGAACTGTCCACTTGTTCTTGTTAGGGAAAAACCCAGAAGCTACGGACGGGGGCATCGGATACGAACGGAGCGATCGGACGCTAGGAAGGAGGCTCCTATTCACCCCCAACATTCGCCTGGGCCGATCCAACTTTTCTACCCTTCAGCCGCCCCCAATCGTTCGGCTCACGAGCCACGTGAGGAAGTGCTCGGCCACCACCGTGGCCTGCGAGGACCGATGGGTGATGTCAGGGTCGACCTTCCGCCATATGGGTCGACCAATAGGGGTCCAACAGGCTTCGCGATCGTGAACCGCATGGTCGCTGGTGAGATCCAGATGTCGGGCCTGGATCCGCGTCTCCATGTCCTCCTGCGATCAATTTGTGCAAGACTTGAGAGCAAAAGATACCCACGATGCTCCTGTACACTGCACTATTGGGTTGGGGATGCGAACCTATAAAACTGTAGGTAGCGGACCAACAGGTTCAGTCATGGCTTGAGCTAACCTAGAGTTTGCCAACCTATGAGTTTGGAACTCCAACACAGCTCAACTATTGGGTAGGAGGTGCCAGTGATGCGGCCTATACAACTGTAGGTTGCCAACCTACAGTCATGGCATGAGCTAACCTAGAGTTTGGCAACCTATGATTTTGGAACTCCAACCCGGCTCAACTATTGGGTTGGGGGCGCCAGTGAAACCAACAACAGATTCAATAATGGCATGAGCTGACCTACACGTTGAACCATGGCTGGAGCTAACATAGAGCGACCAGGCTTTTCACCAACTCTGCATCACCCTTTGCGGTTCGCGCTCCTGGGAGCTGAGCAATGGGCTAATCGCTGCCAATGCGCAGGTGCCAAAGACCTTCTCTAACCTCATTGCTCTTAGGCCATCGCTACTGGGGTGGAGGCAATTTCTTTTAGGTTGGAGGCCATCGCTGGTAGGAGGGAGGCCATCGCTATGAAAAGAAACGACGAGTCGAAGACGTGTCGGTGATTTCTTGGCGAAACGGGTTCGTCGCCTCTCGACTCCTTCGCGTTGGTTGAACCACCTACGGCACATGTAGACCAGGACCCCCAGTCCGGGGTGGTTCATGGACACCCCTTATTCACCTCTTTTCGCTATTAATGGACACCCGGAATCCGTGGTGCCGGGAACTGTCCGACTGGTGTTGGGCTTATGATCCCGGCCTCCGTTCGGTCGATCTTCTTCGGAAGACCGAAGACCAAACCGATGCGATGGGTTTGGTGCGGAAGTCCGGTTTCATGGGAAACGAGCAGATATAGAGATGAACAAACCAACGTCCTATAACCTATACGACCAATATGTACGTCCAGGTTAAACGAACTTCATCCAAATTCGTGTTTCAAGGAGACATTCTGCTATTGGGACATTGCCAGTGCAAGCTCGGATATAGTTCCGATGTCAAATCAGCCTGCTCCATGGCTATGGTGGCAAAATGGAATCAACAAACTCCAATCGAATGGCCAAAGTACATCGGATTCAATGTTACTTCTGCGCCGGCTGGGGGCAAACAACTCTTCTCCAACCCACCAAGGCACCCCCCAAACATACAACTTTCAACAATGGATAGGACGGTCCAGAAGCATCAAGTCAAGCAGCTTGCTGCAAAAACGGTGTCTTTACTGAGATCTTCTGAGTTTCCAGATCAACAGATCTGTTTCTCAAGAACAACAGATCTGTTTCTTTCCAGATCCCCCCTTTTTGACACCTCTTCCAGCCCCACCCCCAGCATTCCCGAGGTCTTCTTCGCGCACGTTTCGTGCTGGGTGCCCCCAGCAGCCAGATGGACTTCAGTACGTGGCGCGCGAAGGCGAACCGAAAGGCCTCGGCAGTGGTTTTCTTCCTACGAGCGATGGCCTCCAACCTACTAGCGTCCTTGCTCCTAGTAACGATGCCAGGAGCCCCTAGCAGCTTCTTGTTCCTAGCAGTAAGGCCAGGAGCCCCTAGTAGCTTCTTGCTACTAGTAGCGATGCCCTTCAACCTAAGGCCTCCATCCTAAAAGCAATGGCCTCCAACTTCCTAGCTCCTTGCTCCGTTCGTAGCGTCCGATCGCTCCGTTCGTAGCGATGGCCAGGAGCCCCGTTCGTAGCTTCTTGTTTCTGGTAGCAATGGCCTCTAACCTACTTGGATGCAGTTCATGCGGGGCCTTTTTCTCTGCTGTTCTGTTTGGTGAAGGGTCGCCACACACAAAAAGGGAGTGCACGCACACTTGAGAAGGTTGCTCCATGGAGCGTGATTTCAGGTAGCTTCGCGGTGTGCATTAGCCCTTTAAAGTTACTGCAGATTAGACCTTGACTGAAAAGAAAGTGCTGGGTCGGTCGAACAGAATTGTTGAAACATCGAATAAATGACGATTAAAAATTGAATTGTGCAGGTACGCTGGGATGATCAGTCCCAGTATCACCAAGGCTTAGAGAGCGTCTTCGTTGGTGGTAGACTCTCTGCCTTGCTACCACCCCCTGCTTCTGTACAGAAACGCTTGTAGGATAGATAAAAAACCTAGGGTAGTGTCCTTGGAAACAGGAGTGGACACACACACTGAGCCGTATCGGCGCAACTAGATCGGATCAGGTAAGGTCAGGATAATAAATAGTGGAAGTGCTTGACATTGAAAGGTTCAATACTGTAAAATACATATCACAGCAGTCTGCGAAAGTGCCGGCACATAGTCTTTTTCCTCTTGGCCGCAGCGCCGCGGCGCAGTGTGCTGGTGAATGGCCTTTGGCCATATATAGCTGCATCAACTTCTGTGCGGTCGTGTGGGCGAGATGTTTGGGGTAAGTGTATTTTTGTAGTGTGTGGTGGCGTGATTGTAAGCCTGAAAGGCGTAGTCGGTGACTCCCTGCTGACTGCGGATCACGAATCTGCCAGGAATGGGTGGGGAGTTGGAGGGTGACGGTTCTGTTGAGAGGGTCAATCAAGAAACCGAGTAGATGGTCGTCGTCCACTGGCTCTATTTCAACTGGTTGTTCGTAAAATTCAGGATGGGCCAATGTAGTGATGGGGAGTGCTGATCTGTATTGTTCGTTGAGCAAGATGTATCGGTTGTCGACGTAGCGAGTGTTGAGCAAGTGAAGGCTTGGTTGTTGTAAGAAGGTGTGGTATGTGGTTTGCCAAGTGTGTTCGATGAGCGTGATTGCCACATTGCAAAGTGCTGGTGAGAGCTGACTGCCAATGCCGGCTCCTTGAATTTGTTTGTAGAAGGTGTTGCAAGCTTGGAAAATGCATGAGTGAAGAGCTTGTTGAACGATAAGAGGAATGTGTTGTGTGTCAAGTGTGCGGTGTTGTGGGTGGTGGATGTAGTGTCGACCGATGTGGGAGTGTTGAATGGGGTTGCCGGTAGACTGGACATCGATGGTGATGGTAGTGGTGTTGTGTTGTGCTTTCCAGCGGTTGCACAGGCTGATGACTGCGTCGACAAGGCGTTGTTGAGGTACGCTGTTGAAGAAGCCAACAAGGTCGTCGTTGATCGGTGTGAGGTGGATGTCTTCGGGTGTGGTCTGGAAATGGTTGTGGAGGTGTTGCCAAAGATTGGGTATAGATAATTGGCCTGGATGTTGGGGTAGAAGATGAAGGAGCATAATATCTAGTGCTTTGGAGGTGGCTCGTAATAATGTGCCTGCGATGGATCTGAAGTAGCTGATGACTGTTCTACCCTTTCGCCAGGATTTCTTTTGTTTGAGGAAAACTACTCCATGTGGTGTGTAGAATTTTGTGCGGAAGCCCCAGGGGTATGCTTTGCGAATGCTGGCTGGGAAGGATTGTGTGAGAAATTGGTGGAGTTGTTGGGTGGTGAGATCTGGTAGTGGGAGAAAAAGTTGTGGTGTATTCCATGTGGTGAGACATCCGTGGAAGTAGTGCTGTGGGCAAAAGAGTCGTAGGTTTTGTAGTTCATGGTCAGCATGATGGAGTACCAGCTTGTCTGTAAGAAACTGTTGAAGCTGTGTAACGTTGCGGGAGGTAAAGCGGGGCGTGTATAGAAGATTGTCAATGTGCTGTTTCCATTGTTGGTGTAGAAAAGGTAGGCTGTGTTGATGGAGGGCAGTGGGTAGACCATGGTGCCTTAGCCAGTGAGTGAGTTGTTGTTCAAAGTGTTGGAAATATTGCGTCTTTGTGGGAAAGAAAGTGCTGTTCATGTTGGCTTGTATGAATAGCTCAAGATGGCTGGGGAGCTGTAGGTCTTCAAGTGTAAGTACGTAGTGACCATCGTAGAGCGGCGGTGTGTGGTTGGGACGAAGCAAGGTGTGCATGTGGTGGCAGCTGCATGGCATGTCAGCGGCTGTGGGATGTGTGGAGAAGAGTTCTTCCCAACGTTTGTGGTTGTAGAGCCGGGAACGCAAAGTCTTGTGTGCTGCTTCGCGTAGTTTGGTAGTAGGGGGGTGGAAAGGAATGACGTGATGCATGTGGTGTTGGATCAGTGTGCGAAGCCATTTTTCCGTGGAAGACGAGAAGGTATTGTGAGAGAGGAAAGGAATGGTAAAGGGTTTGTTGGCTTTGGGTGGAGTGAGATTGCGAAAGCTGAGTGCTGAGTGGAGAAGGTGAAGAACGCGTGATCGATCTGGTTCCTCTAGGCTGGCGGCCATTCGACGGAAAGCGTAAATTTCAAGATCAGTGTATTTGCCGCTGCGGATGGCTGTTGATGTTTGAAAAGATGAAAGTGTATGCTTGCTGAGCTCGCGTAAAACTGTAAGGGCGTGTAGGCGTTGACTTGTGTGAAGGTGGGGTTGCCTGATGGTGTGTTGTCGTCGTCGGAGCCGTTGGAAGAGACGTTTGTGAGTGGACATCCGTGTGAAAGTGGTGCGATGTTTTGAAAATTGCCAACCTGAGGCTTTGAGTTTGAGGTGTCTTTGGATATAGGGCCAATTGAGTGTAGGTTGCCATTCTTGGATCCGCAGGTGTTCGTAGGTCCATGCTTGATCATAGGTGTCGTGATGGGAAAGGTAAATAGTGCTGTAGTGGTGGAGGTTGTTCTTGGAGTGCCAGTAGCGTAGAGAAAGTTCAGCTGAAATGGGGTGGTTATTGTGTAGTTGTTTGAGTTTTGCGTGTCGATTGTATTCTCGCTTGGGGATGGTGATGCTGGTAGAGCCGATGTATGTATGTCCATGTTGGTGATATTGGTGTCTTGTGTGATGTTGGTTGAAAAAGAGCTTGGCATAAACCGCATTGGGATGGGTGAACATTTGGTAGTGATAAGTGTGTGGTGTAACTTGTAGTTGGTTGAAACGGGAGCGCCATTGTATAGAGTGATGTGTTTGCGAGGGGAAGGCAAAGAGGCATGTGAGGTGAATAAGACTGACAGAAAAAATAGCGTGTGACTTGTCAATGTAGGGTGTGAAATGGACAAAGTGTGATAGGGCTGTGTGTAATGTTGTTAAAGATTGTAGGGTGTGATGTGTTGGTTGATGCAGCGCTTGTTGTACGAGTCAGGCTGCCAAGGCCGAACCTGCGGCGACCAGTTGCTGTAGTGAACGTGGGGGAAGCTTGAGGACCCGAGCTAGCGGGATGCCGTAGCGGGTAGCTGCTTCTTGGAGTTGTTCTTTTGTGATATGTTCATCTCGTAGAATCTGCTGGATGTTGGTGACTTGTGTCTGAGTGGCTGGTGGTAATGTCTTGAGCCATTTCTGAATGCCAGCTGCTGCATAGTTGGCTGGTGAGTTGTCATGGAGTGTTTGTGTGGTGGGATTGAGAATGGTCGTGGTTGTGATGGCGGTAGGGGCTGGAAGTGGGAGATGCGGTGTGTGGGTGGCGGATGATGGGGTATGGTGTGATCCTGGCTTGGTTGGTGTGAGCGCAATGCCATGATTCTTCAGCTTGTCGCGAGCGCGCTGGAGTTCGCTCTCTTGTTGTTGTAAGCGATCTGTCTGTTGCTGGAGCTTTCGGAGTGCTGTGCCTTCGCCGGCTGGTGGTGTAAGGCCTCGTAGAAAGTCAATGATGCGAGAAATAAGTGGTTGCATGAATTGTTTGGCTTCTGTGGTTTTGTTTGGAATGGACTGATCTGCTTGTTGGTGCAAATATTCAGCGATGTTGTCGATGTCCAGGTTGTGGGCCCTCATCTCTGGCAGCAATTGTGAAGTGAAGACCGCCTCCGCGATAGATCTGGTGGTGGCGATGCCTGTGCAGCGTCCTTGGGACAGGATGCGTAGGCTGTGGTCCTGGAGGCCAAAACGGCTGAGCTGCCATGGGAAAATGTCGAGGACTTGTTGTCCTGCGAGGTTGTATTTCCTGGACCACTGCGTCGGCTGAATTGTCCGAAACAATGTGTGACCATGCACGGTATTGGTATCCAAATGTGTGTCGCTGGGAGTCCATGTGTCAGGTAGGTTGGGGATGTTGGGGGGTACCACTCCAAGCTGTGGAGGCGTTGGGTGGAGAGATGCTGCGGGTGGGGGCAGGGGTTCAGGTGGAAACGTTGCTGGTGGTGCTGGAGAGGTAGTGGGTGGATCAACTGGAATGTTGGCGTGATGTTGATGATGCTGGTGATAGGGGTGTTGGTAGTGATGACGAACTGCATTGGTGAGAGGTCCATAGCCGGCAGTGGGTGTCGTGGTGCCATAGTATTGTTGCCACCATTGTTGATGCGCGTCCATGATGGGAAATACTGTAGTTCTGTACAAGAAGGAGCAATAAGCACGAGGGTAGTCGAAACTGATGGTTTGAACCACAATGGCTGAGAAGTTAAAGAATTGAGACTAGAGAGAAGTCAAAATTGTGACTTGGAAAGTCGATCGAAGCTCTAGTGGCAGGCGTCAGAAAATCTCGAAGAGCAAAATAAGTATGAACATAGACTCAATACTGTAAATATTTTCTCATAGCTGGAAGGGTCA